GCTCATGTCAGCAAACACGGCTACATCACATGACACGCCAGCAACACGGAAACGCCAACGCACACAGCTGCACAGCGGGCAGGGGCAGGTGCGGCAGAAGGGAGCCGGGGGCCACCCATTTTGTCCTTTGCGGGGCAGGCTGGGGGGGCTGGGTGAATGCATAGAACACATCATGTACACACGTTCGAGGTGTCAACCCACAGGCACATGGGATGGACACATGCATTGTGCTTCAGGAGAGGCAGGGCTAGGAAGGGGGAGGGGAAGCATCGAGCCCTGGCCAGGCCTGAGACCACCCACAGGGCACCATGGTTGTAGGTATGGGGAAGGTGGGCAGCACACACTCCTCTGAGAACGTGCAAAAGACACTAGCCCCCAGACAACACACCAGCACACATACAGACACATCATGTGATGTGTGGGACTTGTGGAAGTTGGAGCATAGCAGACCCTCAGGGATCCTCTGGTCCAACTGAGGCCCAGAGATGGGCAGCTATGGGCCTAATGCCACTCCAGAAGGCAGCAGCATCACTTTAGCCATGGCTCCACCCTTCTCCTTGTGGCCCCAAGGTTGTGGGAATTCCAGAAACACCTGGGCTTAAAGAGTGTCCTGGCTGGGCAGCAAGAAGGAAAAAGGGGTGGAGGAATGCTGAGGCCTGCTCTGATGTTCCCAAAGAAGCCTGAGAAAGGGGCAGGAGCGCTGCAGTCAGGCACGGGGCAAACTTCCTCTCCTGCGGAAGGGCATTTGAGGAAGAGACAGGCAGGTGTTCCTCTTCAGGACAGCCCACCTTGGAGGTTACATGTATTGGCCACACATAGGCAGGGTCCAAACAGCCAGGTAGGGAAGAGGCTAGCTATCTGAGCTGGGATAGGGATGAGGAGGGTAATGCGTTCCAGAAGGTCATATCTGCATTCTCTCTCTCACACACACTCTCTCTCACACACACACACACACACACACACACACACACTCACATACAGTGGGACCCTGGGAAACAGTCTGCACACACCCTCGTGTCCTTCACCCTGTGCACATGTATGCCCAACCCCAGGGCAGGACACGTTCCTGTACTTGTGTGTTCAGTCCTGTATATATGTGTGTCCATGGTTCTCGGCCATGGACTGGGTGGCTTCTAACATAGTCCTTTGCCCATGAACCTCCCACCTGCCACCAAACGCACAAATATACTTGTGCCTATACTGTCTACATCAGAAAGGAGTTAGCCCTTTCCTCACCATCAGAAACCCAGGCCTGTGTCCCACCCTCAGTCTCACCCTGGTGGGGGAGCAGCTATTGCAGACATTTTAGCAGATGTGTCCAGGGGGTGGATCCTGGGACTTGGCTCACCTCAAGCAGCTGCTGCCATACTGGCCACTCCAGTATGTCTGAAATAAGCAGTTCCCCAAACCCAAGATCCCTGAGGCAGAGCCCAGAACATCAGATGGGGTGGTGGGGAAAAATACTGGCCTCTCCCAGTTCTGAGGTAAGTGTGTGGAAGGCAGGAATGTTCTCATCTTCAATCTGTCTGGGAGAGCCCTTGATATTGGCCTCATCGGTAATATTCTCACAATAGCCCTTCCCGGAGACATTCCTGTGCAAATGGGTGCGGGCCTGTATGGGCACCTTGCCCATGTTAGCATGCATATGTGCTCCAGTGTGTATGTGTGTGTTTGGGTGTGGCCACCTACATGAGGCCTCCTCAGCCTATGCATGTGTGAGCCCATGTATGTACCAGCTCTCATGGGTGCAGGCCTATCCTCTGGCAGAGATACAAAAAAAGATAAGCATCTGGGCATGTGTGTGCAGGGCCTCTGAGATCTTATAGGGCAGGAAGCTCCAGTTGCACAATGTTGATGTAGCACTGTGTGGCCATCCCAGATACTGGGCAGCAGCTCTGGGGAGAGAGGGAGGGGCAAATAAATCTGTATAAACAAACATGGACAGGGCACATGTCCTTAAAGAGAAAAATGTGTGTATGCATATAATACATAGGGGGGCAGAAACACATATAGAAAGCACCTGTACACACACATAAACACTCACACAGACATATTCTAGATAACAGAAATATAGATTTCTGTGCCTACCCAAAACAGGTGTCCAGTGCACAATATGGAGGGCTCTCTCTGAGAAGACCCACCACCACTTCAGGCACATCCTGAAACACACACAGTATTTCTCACATCACCTGCTGGGGGAAATGTACATGTATCTACAAGCTAAGCTAGGTTATTTATAAGTATATACTTCCATTCATCTTGGCTGAACTCCAAGCTTACAATACACACACACACACACACACACTCCCTGGGACATGTGTCTGGGGTGACTAAGCCAGGAAGGTTTGTTCTACGTCATGCTGGGGTACACCTGGATCCTCTGGGAATGTGGGTGTGAGCTTCTGTACACTCGTAACCTGCCCGATTTGTGACAGGGTGGAGGTGGGTGTCAGTAGAAGAAGTGCTGCTGCATTAGATTCAAACACTCAAACACAAAATTCCATGTACGCCAATTGTGTATCCAGGGATCTGTGGGGACACACACACACTCTCTCTCTCTCACACACACACACACACACACACACACACACACACACACCCCTATTCACAGAAGACAGAACGGGGCTTGGTGGGTTGCTGTGTTATACCTGGCCACAGTCTACACAACTGAGCAAAGGAGGAAAGCTCAGACAACACACAGATTTGAGGTTGGGTTAAGAAAGGCGATCTGGTACTTCTACACACATCTATGCACATACACACACACGCTGGGGTGTCCACGCATCTCAAGCATGTACCGGCGGCATGCATGTTGGTGTGCATGTGTAATCACTATTTATGTGCAGGGGCAGGGGGTGGTCCATGGCACGATGAGGTCCAGGGACTCCGGGGTCTGATGTGAGAGGGTGAAGGGGAGGGCTGCCTGGGTCTGTCTTGGGGGTGAACCTGGAGCAGGGGATGGAGTTAAAGGGATGGTGGGGGTATTGCTCCCGATGTGGTGGGGGAAGGGTCTGGGGGAGATAGGGATGGGGGACCCTACAAGCCCAGTGTCCCCCCAATGGATGACGCCAAGACCACCCCCAGCACCACACAGCAAATGATGATCATGATTTTCTTCTGTAGGCAGAAAGGGCAATGGGGCAAAAGGAGGAGAGAGAGAGACAGAGAGACAGAGAGAGACAGAGAGATAAAGACAGAGCAATGGGGGAGGAAGGTATGAGGAAAAAGAAGAGAGGAGAGAAAACAGAAAAAGGAAGAGGTCAGAGCCAGAGATAAGGCCTTTCAGGGGATTTCATCACTTGCCTCAGCCCTGGCCTGAGCCCAGCCCTCCCCACCCAGCTAGGGCCCACCTGCCCCACCGGCCCTCCCTCCCCGGCTCACCCTCCGGGCCTTGCTCTGATATCTCACAGCTTTCTTGGTGTCTGACACAGCTCGTTCCACATAGTCCACGGAATGTTCCACGTTGTACTCAATGCGGTCAATCATCTCACCCTGCAGAGGCGATGTGTACAGGGAGGGGTGGGACTGGGCTGAAACGGGGAATCCCCGGAAGCTGAGGGAGGCTCCCAGATGGTGTGGCAGAGGGCAGAGGCAGTACCTGGCTCTCCACAAGCATGGCCATGTCTACAAACATGTCATGCAGCTCTCGGATGCTGGTTTCCAGTTTGATGATCTCGTTGTGCCTTGTCTCAATCTCGTTCAGCGCCTGCTTCGTCATCTGCGAGTCCATTTTGATCTAGGGCAATGGGGGGAGGCACTGAAAACCATCCTTCACCCCTATAAGAGCTTGGACTCTGCAGCCAGAGTGTCTGTGTTAAAATATGGCTATCACTCACTAGCTGTAACCGTGGGCAAATCATTTAACCTCTCTGGGCCTCAGTTTCCTCACCTAGAACATGTGGATAATAACAGTGCCCATTTCATTGTTGTTATGAAGATTAATTGAGATAATATGTATTCATTGATTAAAACAATACCTGGCACACATGAAGCACTAAAGAGAAGTTTGTTAAATTACAAGAAGTAAAACTTGTCCTGAGCCCAGGGCTGCCTCTGTCACACACATCAAGGAAGACTTGTAAAAGGAGACAAGGGGTCCAGGGCCCCCACCAGTACAGTGGCCCCCATATGGTCAGAGGCAGACAGGGTCAAAAAAGAGGACACAGCAAAGCAGAGAAGGAGGCCCAGATGAAAAAGCAGTGTGCTCACAAGTCCCCTGGAGCTCCCAAGACATGAGATGGGGGAAAATAATAAAAAAGTGCATTGCAGGCCTCAAGAGTCAGTGACAGAGAGACTCCAACCTTATCCCCACAGATGACTGGCCTGAACCAGGCTGCTCACTTCCCAAACCACTCACTGTTTAAACCACACCAAGCCACTCCTCTGCT